TTATTTACTTGTTTATAAGACAACGTTTCGCTAGTATAGAAATATACACTTCCATTATTTACTTGTTTATAAGACAACAATTCGCAGTAGCCCCGTAGAATAGAAATATACATTTCTATTATTTACTTGTTTATAAGACAACGTTTCGCTAGTATAGAAATATACATTTCCATTATTTACTTGTTTATAAGACAACATTTCGCTAGTTGAAATTATACATTTCTATATTATTGTTTATAGCAATTTCGCAGTAGCCCCGTAGAATAGAAATATACATTTCTATTATTTACTTGTTTATAAGACAACGTTTAGCTAGTATAGAAATATACATTTCTATTATTTACTTGTTTATAAGACAACGTTTCGCGTAGCCCCGTGAATAGATATACATTTCTTTTATTTATTGTAAAGCAACGTTTAGCTAGTATAGAAATATACATTTCTATTATTTACTTGTTTATAAGACAACGTTTCGCTAGTATAGAAATATACATTTCTATTATTTACTTGTTTATAAGACAACATTTCGCAGTAGCCCCGTAGAATAGAAATATACATTTCTGTTATTTACTTGTTTATAAGACAACGTTTCGCTAGTATAGAAATATACATTTCTATTATTTACTTGTTTATAAGACAAGATTTCGCAGTAGCCCCGTAGAATAGAAATATACATTTCTATTATTTACTTGTTTATAAAGTAACATTTCGCTAGCAGTCCCGTAGAATAGAAATATACATTTCTATTACTTATTGATAACGAAATCAACATTTCGTTAATAGCAACAGAAATAGAGGAACCTAGATTCGAGTAATAAAACCTCTACCTACGTCGTACGTCCTACCATAGCCAACTTTTCACTGCTCTTATCAAATAAATTTATTGTAGAACTGGGCCTGGAATCCGGCGAGCAACACCTCGGCCAGGAAGGTTCGTTACAATTGGCGCCCGAGCAGGGACAGTGGAAACAGATACCAGTTAACATCGTCATTTTCTTTTACCATGGGACAGTATTCTTATCTCCAGACAGTTGAACAAGTCGAGAAATGGTGTGTTAAATTTAATGGTAGTAAGAACCCGTTGGGCTTTAACGAAAACATTGAAGAACTTGCAGACGTCTATGGCATCGTCATAAATCTAGTTTCCAAGATAATGCCTATACTGCTCGAAGATAAAGCACTAATGTGGTATCGCTACAACAATAAGCATTGGCAGCTATGGACAAGTTTTAAGGCCGATTTCCTAAATTTCTTTTTGCCACCTAGATATTATGAAAAATTAGCAGATGAAATAGGATCTCGACGTCAAAGGCCACCAGAAAGCTTTAAGGGTTATTTAATTATCATTAAAGATCTGATGCGACATGCTGGCATGGATCAAAATTCGCAACTAGAACGAATATATCACAACATGGTCACTAACTGCCAAAAGTATATCAAACGTCAAGATTTCGAGACTTTAGAATAACTAATTTTACTAACCGATGAATTCGAAGCACTTGGCACAGAGCAGGTTAAAACATGTCGAAGCGATGGTCAAGAAGAAGCGCTCATCAGGCTCACAGTAGTCGAGTATTCACAAGTGATCCCGTTACAGAAACCCATTAAATGATCCCCGCAGTCTAAATATCGAGTCACATTCCAAATCAAGCACATCAATGCAAAGCACACAAGGTCAGATTTATCCAGAGCAACATCCTCAATATTCTCAATCAAAAGAAAGGATTCATGCCCAAGCACATGAAGTACAATATCAGCAAGATCTGCAACGCAAAGAAAGTCTGCAAGTTGTTAATCGGATTTACAATACGCAAGATCAAGTAAAATTACAATTGCAAGTACAAGACATAGAACCACAACGAGATCCACAGTTGCGCGTAGAACAACCGATTATACTCTCGACTAAATTAGTGGCAACCTCATCACTTCCCGTACCTCAAGGACAAGCACTAGCAGAGACTTCGCTAATACTACGTTCGCAGAAACAAGATACTCCAGCGCAACAAGGACAAGAATATGATATGAGTATGGAAACCATTACCAGACAAGTTAAGGTGGTTGACGAAACACCAAGTACTAGCCAATCATCGCATTAACTATCAGAAACTCGTACAGAAAAGGTTTTGGAAAAACGCATCAGCCCACCAGAACAGCTATCACAGCCACATCCAAGAAAACTTGATTGTATGCACCAGAATGACAAAGTAAACAGCGCTCCGAATCAAATTAGAGAATGGTGTCTTGGAATTCAGAATTCTGGTAGCATAGCCATGAATGTAGTCCAAGACAAGTTCTTTAAAATCTTCAAAAATCCAAGGAAACGAACAAGGAATCATTCGACGAGGTAATCAGAGTTCATCAACTCTATGGAAAAATCGGAGAAGTGTAACATAAAATTTATAGCTCTTAAATTTTACAACACAAAATATAATAAAGCACTAACAAAATTGATATTGGAGATGATATTAAAACCCACCTCCAAATTTAATACAAAATAAAAACAGAACAATAATAAAAACTAGTAAACAACACACCCTTGTAGTTACAAGAACAAAACTACAGTATGCTTCGCACCTCGCGGATATAAAAGGCGAAGCAAAAGCACAAGAAAGACATTAAGGTATCGAGCTAAAGAAAATTCGCTTCAAAACATATGTGCTGAAACATCAAGAATCGAAATTTACATCTAGATTCCCATTTTTTTTTATATAATAGAAATACACATTTCTATTACAATAAATTTTAATAACGAAATTAACATTTCGTTAGTAGTAAGAGAAATATACATTTCTGTTACTTATTTGTTCATAACGAAATCAAATTTTCGTTAATAGAATAATCGGTAAGGTGGTATTTACACATGAATATTATCACCCATACCAAATCCGCGGCTAAAGAAATCAACATTTCACTAGTAGCCCCGTAGAATAGAAATATACATTTATATTATTTACTTGTTTATAAGACAACGTTTAGCTAGTATAGAAATATACATTTCTATTATTTACTTGTTTATAAGACAACATTTCGCAGTAGCCCCGTAGAATAGAAATATACATTTCTATTATTTACTTGTTTATAAGACAACGTTTCGCTAGTATAGAAATATACATTTCTATTATTTATTTGTTTATAAGACAAGATTTCGCAGTAGCCCCGTAGAATAGAAATATACATTTCTATTATTTACTTGTTTATAAAGTAACATTTCGCTAGCAGTCCCGTAGAATAGAAATATACATTTCTATTACTTATTGATAACGAAATCAACATTTCGTTAATAGCAACAGAAATAGAGGAACCTAGATTCGAGTAATAAAACCTCTACCTACGTCGTACGTCCTACCATAGCCAACTTTCCACTGCTCTTATCAAATAAATTTATTGTAGGACTGGACCTGGAATCCGGCGAGCAACACCTCGGCCAGAAAGGTTCGTTACAATTGGCGCCCGAGCAGGGACAGTGGAAACAGATACCAGTTAACATCGTCATTTTCTTTTACCATGGGACAGTATTCTTATCTCCAGACAGTTGAACAAGTCGAGAAATGGTGTGTTAAATTTAATGGTAGTAAGAACCCGTTGGGCTTTATCGAAAACATTGAAGAACTTGCAGACAACTATGGCATCGTCATAAATCTAGTTTCCAAGATAATGCCTATACTGCTCGAAGATAAAGCACTAATGTGGTATCGCTACAACAATAAGCATTGGCAGCTATGGACAAGTTTTAAGGCCGATTTCCTAAATTTCTTTTTGCCACCTAGATATTATGAAAAATTAGCAGATGAAATAGGATCTCGACGTCAAAGGCCACCAGAAAGCTTTAAGGGTTATTTAATTACCATTAAAGATCTGATGCGACATGCTGGCATGGATCAAAATTCGCAACTAGAACGAATATATCACAACATGGTCACTAACTGCCAAAAGTATATCAAACGTCAAGATTTCGAGACTTTAGAATAACTAATTTTACTAACCGATGTATTCGAAGCACTTGGCACAGAGCAGGTTAAAACATGTCGAAGCGATGGTCAAGAAGAAGCGCTCATCAGGCTCACAGTAGTCGAGTATTCACAAGTGATCCCGTTACAGAAACCCATTAAATGATCCCCGCAGTCTAAATATCGAGTCACATTCCAAATCAAGCACATCAATGCAAAGCACACAAGGTCAGATTTATCCAGAGCAACATCCTCAATATTCTCAATCAAAAGAAAGGATTCATGCCCAAGCACATGAAGTACAATATCAGCAAGATCTGCAACGCAAAGAAAGTCTGCAAGTTGTTAATCGGATTTACAATACGCAAGATCAAGTAAAATTACAATTGCAAGTACAAGACATAGAACCACAACGAGATCCACAGTTGCGCGTAGAACAACCGATTATACTCTCGACTAAATTAGTGGCAACCTCATCACTTCCCGTACCTCAAGGACAAACACTAGCAGAGACTTCGCTAATACTACGTTCGCAGAAACAAGATACTCCAGCGCAACAAGGACAAGAATATGATATGAGTATGGAAACCATTACCAGACAAGTTAAGGTGATTGACGAAACACCAAGTACTAGCCAATCATCGCATCAACTATCAGAAACTCGTACAGAAAAGGTTTTGGAAAAACGCATCAGCCCACCAGAACAGCTATCACAGCCACATCCAAGAAAACTTGATTGTATGCACCAGAATGACAAAGTAAACAGCGCTCCGAATCAAATTAGAAAATGATGTCTTGGAATTCAGAATTCTGGTAGTATAGCCATGAATGTAGTCCAAGACAAGTTCTTTAAAATCTTCAAAAATCCAAGGAAACGAACAAGGAATCATTCGACGAGGTAATCAGAGTTCGTCAACTCTATGGAAAAATCGGAGAAGTGTAACATAAAATTTATAGCTCTTAAATTGTACAACACAAAATATAATAAAACACTAACAAAATTGATATTGGAGATGGTATTAAAACCCACCTCCAAATTTAATACAAAATAAAAACATCAGAACAATAATAAAAACTTGTAAACAACACACCGTTGTAGTTACAAGAACAAAACTACAGTATGCTTCGCACCTCGCGGATATAAAAGGCGAAGCAAAAGCACAAGAAAGACATTCAGGTATCGAGCTAAAGAAAAGTCGCTTCAA